AAAAGAAAAGAAAAGAAAAGAAAAGAAAAGAAAAGAAAATGAAGGAAAATCATCCAAAAGGGAGGGGAAAAATTAACACAGGTTAAAGTTGTGAAAATTTTGGGTTTTTGGTTTGTGAAGTTGATTTTTGTTAATGGTTTTTAAAAGTCCAACCCTTTTGTGAGAGTCGGACAGCACCGTGTGGCTCTTCATTCTTCTGCAGGCCGTCGGTATCGGAGAACAGAGCTGTGTAGCCAAGCTTCGGGGTAGGATATTTGGGCTCAAAGCAGAATGAATGGCAAAAGCTGGCACCCCTTCCTCCCACGTGCCCTGTAACTGAAGGGGAGCAGGCTGCCCGTGGCTTCTCCCTCCACAGGTAACCCCCCCGTGGTCTGGCTGGCATGGGATGGTGGAACAAACGGGAGCATTCAGCCCGATAATAAAGTAGGTACACAGTAAGTGCTTATACTCTAAGGGAGAACATAATTATCTTCTGTGTTTAGCCTCGCATTTGTCAGGTGACGTGTGGGCACCGCCCCTCTGCTGGCAGCACGAGTCCTGTCAAGTATTTCAAACCAGGCAGGTCAAAAGGGTCTTGAAAGAAAACTCCGAATGTAAATTTGAATTTCTTTCCTATGTTAAATTTTATATATGTCCACTGCGCTCTTAAACCTAACATAGGGGCTGAGCACAGAGCCTAAATAGGATTCTCTCTCCCTCTGCCACTCTCCCCTGCTCACGCTCTCTCTCTCAAAAAAAAAAAAAAAAAAAAAAAGAAGGAGCACCTGGGTGGCTTGATTGGGTAAATGTCTGACTCTTGATTTGGCTCAGGTCATGATCCCACAGTTTGTGGGTTCGAGCCTGCGCTTCGACTCTATGCTGACAGTGCGGAGCCTGCTTGGGATTCTGGCTCTCCCTCTCTCTGCCCCTCCCCTTTTGTGTGCCTTTGTGCTCTCTCCTCCACTTAAAGAATAAATAAATAAACTTAACTAAATGTTGTTAAACCATGCACTCAACAAACATTAAAAAAAAACTACCATAAACTTTCCCCGTAATCTATGTGTATTCTTCGCTCAGCAGTGAAAATGCGCAGTTGTGCTCTACTGATAACTTGCAATTATTTAAAGAAAATCTGTAAAAAACAAATACAAAATAAGGAGATAACTTTGGTGGCACCGTTTTACTTTAAAATTTCAGAACAGGCAATAACTATCTGTATGATTTTTTTTAAGTTTATTTATTTTGAGAGAGAGAGACAGAAACAGCAAGAGGAAGGTGAAGAGGATAGAGAGGAGGGGAGAGAGAAGAGATCCCAAGCAGGCTCCCACACTGCTCCAGGGCAGGAAACCCGACACATGGAGCTTGAACCCCTTGAACCATGAATCACGACCTGAGCTGGTCAAGAGTACAACAGCTAATAGGCCACCCAGAACCTCATGTGTGTGATTTTAAATGACTTAAGGCTTCTAAGGGCCAAAGAAAATCAAATAATGAAATTACCAGAAACTTTTTTAATCATAAAGTCTATGAAAGTCAAGCGTGGCGACTGAAATAGGCTCTCAATATAGAAACTTCATTCTTTCTGTAATTTAAGGAGAACAAGAGCTAGGTTTTATTTAAAATTGCAGGGGTGCCTGGGTGGCTCAGTTGAGTGTCTGACTTCAGCTCAGGTCATGATCTCATGGTTCATGGGTTCAGAGATTTTTGGGCTCTGTGCTGACAGTTGGGAGCCTGGAGCCTGCTTCAGATTGTGTGTCTCCCTCTCTCTCTGCCTGCTCATGCTCTGTCTCTCTCTCTCCCAAAAATAAATAAACACTGAAAAATTTTTTTAATTGCACACATTGGGGCACCTGAGTGGCTCAGTCGATGGAGAGTCCACCTCTCAACTTCAGCACAGGTCGTATCTCAGGGTCATGGGATCAAGCCCCACCATCAGGCTCCATATACTGACATGGTCTGCCCAAGTTCTCTCTCTCTCTCTCTCTCTCTCTCTCTCTCCTCTCTCTCTCTCTCTCTCTCCTCTCTCCCCTCTCTCCCTCCTACCCCTCCCCCCAAAAAAGTTTTTTTAAATTTCAGACATTATTATGGCCCCTCATACAAGGTGCAAGGTTTTTTTTATGTTTCTCTGTTTTTGAGGGAGAGAGCACAGAAAAGCTGGGGAGGGGCACAGAGAGAGATAGAGGAGAGGTGGCTGGAGAGAGAATCAAAAGCGAATATGTAGCACAAGAGAGCCTGATGCAGGGCTTGTACCCAGGAACCGCAAGATCATGACCTGAGCCGAAGCTGGATGCTTAACCAACTGAGCCACCCAGGCGCCCCAAGATTCAGCAAGTCTAATGATAAGATGAGCCTGAATAATGCAGCATATGCTAATGACTAATCCATTTTCTTCTCTTAAAAAAAACATTAACCTTTCTCAGCTTGTTATGTACAAATATTATTTTTCTTGCATGATTTCAAAAAGTGAGAAGGTTTGGGAAATGTAAAATGAACACAAGGGCAGAAGCAGTTGGATACGGAAATATGTCACTGGGGGGTTGGGGGGGCAGGTGGAGGCGAAATTCTTATCTGTGGTCTAGGGAATGTAATCTCTGCAGAAAAACAGCTTATCGATTCACACGGGATCCAGGGGTGAGGAATGCTCCAGAGCGGCATTCTGCTCCGTAAAGTGACCTACTGTTAGCTTTAAAAAAAAAAAAAAAATTTGCCCAACTCATGACAACTGGCTTTGTTTTCAAACAAAACCTTTGCCTCAGAAGCAGTCCTAGGTGCAAACTTTTCACTGGAATCTAATAGGGTCTCTTTGCACAATCAGAAACTCGACTGACTATGTGGTGATGAAGAGAGTAACCGTTTGGCCCCAGACGTGATTTCTGTTCGCAAACACTGCTCTCTGCTTCCCAGTGAGCGTCGAGTGGCTAATGCCCTTTCCATTTCCAAGCACAGCATGTGGGGTCCCCGGGGGTTAACAATGCCAACATCACTAACCTCGTGGAGGAGTTGTATTTCCGTCCACTGGCACTTTCTGCACAAGTACACACGGATTTGTGGCGAACGATTCTTTGCACTTTGGAAGGCTTGAAAATACTCATCCATTCCACGTCAGACATGTGGCCTGGTGCCTCGATTATGAAGTTACTCGGGTGGCAGCACTTGGATTCCCATATGTCACTTTCCCCCAAACAGGCTTCATTTTTATGGCAACAGGAGACTCCAGACCTTTCCATGTCATCTTGACGTTCAACATTCAGCTTTTCCGGTTGTTTTGCCCCAGAACAGCTGGCCAGGCCCAGGTACACGTTAACATCATGCCACTGTTTCTCATCAGATAAGGACATTGATGTTTCCAAGAGTTGTTTCTCTTCATTCTGAATCTCTATCCCGTTCCCTTTTGGTGACTTTGCATGGATCTTGCAAAATGTACTTTTGTTTTCGGCTTCCATCGGCATTTTTCCTCCCAGAGACCAAGACTTTTGCTTCTCCAGCAAGTCTTTTGTAAATAGAGATGAGACAGCAATTACACTTTTCCCCCCAAATGAAGTATTAACCTGTAGTCTCTTCTCTTTGCATACATCACAAGGGCTCTTGTCTGACCTATTTTGCTGAACCAACGTGGTCTCAAATTTTGGGTCTTTAACCAGTGACTTCTGATTTTTCTCTCTCTTAATATCGACTTTTGGGCGGTTATTCTCAAGGTCTGACAAACACATGTCTCTGCTATGGTGGCATTACAAAAAACGTAAGTTATAAGATACACTTAATACCGTCATTCTAAATATTTCACTCAAACCCCATTAGTTGAGCTAAATCCTATTAAGACCCATTTGTATGAAATGAAAAGGTAAGGTAGAATATGTATTCTTTCTTCAGAGCCCGATTTCCACCTGACTTCAAGGAAGTCTTTCTGACCGGCAAGCCCACACGCTTACTTTCCCTTCCTGCCTTCCACTCCCCCGTGCTTACTGCCTATACTGCGGTTACTGCTTTACTGTATGTATTCTCTAATCATGCAGCAAACTTCCTATTATAACTATATTGTTCACCAACTTTCATGTATATATCTTGTCTTTTCAGTAGACTCATAAGTTTTTTTCTTTTTTTTTTTTTAATGTTTATGTATTTTTGAGAGACAGAGCACGAGCAGAGCAGGGGTGGGGAGGGGCAGAAAGAGAGGGAGACACAGAATCCAAAGCAGGCTCCAGGCTCTGAGCTGTCAGCACAGAGCCGGATGTAGGGCTTAAATCCACGAACTGTGAGATCATGACCCCAGCCGGAGTCGGATGCTTAACGGACTAAGCCACCCAGGAGCCCCGACTTGTAAATTTCTTAATGTATAGGCCTTTTTAGTCCTCCTGGCACTTCAGGACAGCCTTTAACATACATTAGGTATTCCGTAAATACCTGTTCATTGGTCTGTTATTCCCCTTCCTATTAGTGTCACAGTAAACAGAAGTAAAGCCAGGACTGAAAGGGGACAGAGATTCAAGGGACAGAGATACAGTGGAAAGTGCCAAATGTGTTTACGATACTGCATTCATGACCGACCCATTTATCTGCTGGATATTTACACAGCGATATACTGAAAGCTGGTCTAAAGTAAGAAAGGCATGTGTGCATAAAATGAAGATTAAGAACACTATACAACAGGATACACCGTTAACTAAACTGTCTTCATGTCACATGTATTCAGGTATTCTGATCTGTAGAGTTCTGACCCCTCAGACAACTCAACCCCCACGTTTCTAGAATGGCACAGGCCATTTCACGCTCTTAGAGAGTAACTTCATGCATCTCTCCCAAGTGCCTCCCAGGGGCAATGAGGTCCAAACAAGGAAAAAGCCAGTGTGATGGGGGCTCTTGCCTGCAAGAGAACTCTGGGCTGGTGTGGTAAGTATCAGCAGCAGCAGCAGCAACAGCTGGGACACAAAGCCAAATGTAACTACCCCCCTGCCCCCCCAGCAGAAGGCCTCAAAAGAAAAGTAAAGCACAGCAGTCACACTGTCCGGAGGGACAGTCGCTCCCCACGTCCACCGCTGCAACTGCTAACCACCAGCAAAGGGGCTGCTGGGAGCGCAGGGCGGCCTCCACACCTGCGCGGTTACACCCCCCCTCTCACCCCCCCCCCAGCGGTGGGGACCTGCCCTCATTCCTGTGCCCGGTCATGACTCCCACGTAACACTGGTGCTTGGAAAAGTAGACTAAATGTAACTGTGGGGGCAGCTGTATGCCTGTTAAATTAAACCACACCTCATATATTTGTATTTTAACTTTACAGAGACCGATTTAATTCATACACTACACTGCTTGTTAGAGGTATGAAAAGGTGTCTCCTTCTATTAACAAGGAAAACAGGAAAATCCAGCTAAAATCAGAGATCACCCTCAGCTAGCTGAACTCCTACTCCAGTTATGTATACCATTCGCTGGCGTTATTTCTTTTAGGCAAGTGCTATGTCCTAGGTGTCTTTATTTTGCCCACACCCAGCCCCGTGAGTGCTAAACACTACACACTAAGTGCGCCTGAAAGAGGACATGATTCACCTCTGCGGTTTCCACTTGAGCTCAAAGCCCTGTACACAACAGACACACAGATAATGCTAATGAATTTCTTTCATCAAGTGGCTAAATCAGGATCGTACCTAAAATTCTCAGATCAGGTCTCATTACAACACAGGATTATAATGGTAATTACTAGCTCATATATATTTATTCCCTATCCCTTAGGGAATGACAGTCAATACCGGCCTACAGTAAGTACTTAATAAGCAGACTGAACGATAAAATAATATACAAGATCATACTAACAGCATCTTACTAAGGTTACCTGGATTCCAGAACCTTTGATTCCTCCATCTTTGAGTCATATATCTGTAATAATTCCTGAGAATTTTCCACATTAAAATTAAGAAACTGCAGATCACTCTGTTGTTTTACATAAATCTGCCATAAATATTGATAAGTAAGTTGTGACAATAAAACTGTATTGAGTCAACATTCAAATGTTACAACACATCAGATGGTGACTAGAGACATATGCTAAATATGTTTGCTTTAATTTTTCCTATGTTAGCACTGAGATTTGTTAGTATAACTGGTTTCCTAACCTTTCGTTACCAAAAGCCAAACCCTACTGATTATGCTAAAGGTGACATACCTTTAATATACTTAGGACACTAAAAGCACCATAAGCAAAAATCGGCAGACACACGCTTTTCCTAATTTGATGTTTGTTTATAAACATGTCCCACCTAACAGTAAGGGCAGGGGAACCGGGGACGTACCTGTCTCAGATTACGTAGTTCTGCGTCTGTACGTTCTTGCTTTGACTTGGCAATATCAAGTAACTCATCTTTCCTTTTTTCTCTCTGTGCTGTTTAACAACAAATGTTATTCAAATATTTTTCATCAGCCATATCAACACAAACCTCTTCATTTCCAAAAATTTAATGTTCCAGTGACATTTTCCTCCTGTTCCTGAACTTAAAATTTGCAAAATGCAGGGGCGCCTGGGTGGCGCAGTCGGTTAAGCGTCCGACTTCAGCCAGGTCACGATCTCGCGGTCCGGGAGTTCGAGCCCCGCGTCGGGCTCTGGGCTGATGGCTCGGAGCCTGGAGCCTGTTTCCGATTCTGTGTCTCCCTCTCTCTCTGCCCCTCCCCCGTTCATGCTCTGTCTCTCTCTGTCCCAAAAATAAAAAATAAACGCTGAAAAAAAAAAATTTAAAAAAAAAAAAAAAAATTTGCAAAATGCATGGCTGGGAAGAGCTTTTTCTGTGATTCTGACTAGATCTTTCACCAAACTTGAAAATTTTCACAGTGTAATTAATGCTGAGTCAAAGAAAAGATCCAGAATTGTATCAACTGTATGATCAAATCACACTGTGCGTTTATATACATGGACACAAAGATAAAAAATCTGAGAACAAGTACATTAAATATTAAAATAAGCTTTTTTGGATGGGAGGATTAATAACAATTATTTTTCTCTCTTTTTTGGGGGAGGGGGCATGATAAAATATGTATTACTTTAATTTTTAAAAATTTGTTCACATTACATGACTAACTTATGAATGCATTTTCATTGCAAAAACCCAAACAACATATTACCTTTATCAACAGAATGAATGAGTGAATGGATGAATGAATGAATAAATAGATAAAACGGTTTTAGAACTTGGTAAATTGAGAACCCATAGGAAGAAAAGAATCTGAAGTGCTATACAAAGACTAGTACCAGAAAAAAAAAACAACACGTTAATATTACACTAAAGGAGAAATAGAGTGACTCACACAGAAATCAGAAATCAACAATAAATGCTTCACTTCAGAAAAAATCAGTAACTTTATAAGAAGTTCAAACTAAATGTATAAAATGACCCTGTAACTACATGAATTGAATTCGAAGTAAATCGGAGACAATCTCAATAAAAATGTGTAACTTCTATCTATGGTTCTTTCATAAAACACCTTCTACATGTCATTTTTCTACATTTTCATTTTACATGAAAAAGGACAAAAGTTTTTATCGTCAGTTTCCATCTGGACATCGCAAAGACCACGTGAGGACACAGGCCCGTGCTTTGCTGCGGACTGTAACTCCACTGGACAGCCGCTCTGGGGGTCAGGGCACCAGCTGCAGGAAGGAGCCAGACAGGTCTGTGCATAGCCACCCAGTCTCCCCAGCGTGGCTCATGCTCAGCCCTTCCAACATGGGTCTGCAGCATCATCTCACCTCTGAAAGGTAATCCGCGTGCACAAGATGGAAAACGTGAAGAGAAGTTCAGTGAAAGCCACATTGTCAGCTTGAACCTATCACGTCTTTTCTACTCCGTTCTGAATTTATTTCTTTGCATTATAGGCGTCAACACCATCATGAGAGCATATAAATGCAGTGCGCCTGCACTATTTATGCAGAGTTGCATTCAGTTTATGTGAATTCAATTATAAGCACAAAGAAAAAACTAAAAAAGGAATGGCAGCTAGTTTAACTGGAAGTAATGCCCACAGTGGATCTGTGACTCTCTCTGCTGGGCTCAGTTCCGCTTGCCTCTCATTATTAGCAGCACTGTGACACGCCGGGTGTAATTCCTAGTATTTTGAGATACTCGAGATACTCTGGATACAGTACGGCCCCTGACCAAAAGCCATATTTGGAGTTCACGGGTAATTTTAAATATATGTGAACTTTGCCTTAATCTCGGACTTTAGAATAATCTACTAGTGCATAAGAGGCAACTCTACTGTAAATATCGGTGTTTCGCTCGGTCAGATACTTTTCTACATGGCTGGGTTTAGCTGAGAGATCAAAGCGGTGGGACCACTCTTTCTGTGGTCACAGAAAACAAAGAGATGTCGGACTCTGCTGGTAGCTGCCTGAGCGAGCAGCCTAAGAAAGACACCAGAGGGGAAAGGGCCCTGGTAGTCTGCACCCACCACATCTGGTCAAGGCTCTGCCTTTTACTGACCAAGAGACCTTAGGCAATCAATCACTCAATGCCACGGGGCTTCATTTACAGGACAGTCAGGACCCCAGAAATATGAACTAGTATCATCACTTTATTTGCAAACTTCTTATAAGCAGTTATGTACAAAACAAAGAAACACATCATCTATGTGAAGCACTTCATCTTCAACGAGAGAAAAAAAAGTTTTGAACTTAACAGACATCTTAAGATGTCTTAAGACATCTTCCAGCTTCAAATAAAATGTGTTCATTTTCAGTTATAGCATCTGACAGGATATTACCATATTAAGCCTTTTAAAATTATTTTAGGCTTCCTTCACTTTTATAATTTAAACACACAAAAATTGTTTGAGACAGTGGTATGACTAGAAAAGGTGTTTAAGAGGGGAAACTGGGTGGCTCAGTCAGTTGAGCGTCTGACTCTTGATTTTGGCTCAGGTCATGATCTCACAGTTCGTGAGTTCCAGCCCCGCATCAGGCTCTGCGCCAGTGACATGGAGCCCACTTGGGATTCTCTGTCTCCCTCTCTCTCTGCCCCTCCCCTGCTTGTGTTCTCTCTCATTCTCTCTCTCTCTCTCAAAAATAAATAAATAAACAAAAAAAAAAAGAAAAGAAAGAAAAGGTATTTAAGAGATAAGCTTAGGAGGGGTGCCTGGGTGGCTCTGTTGGTTAAGTGTCTGACTCTTGATTTGGGCTCAGATCATGATCTCACAGTTCATGAGATCAAGCCCCATATCAGGCTTTGCACTGACAGCATGGAGCCTGCTTGGGATTCTCTCTCTCCTCCTCTCTCTGCCCCTCCCCCACTCATGTCCTCCCTCCCCGCCCCGCACAAAATAAACATTTAAAAATAAATCAACATAAAAAATAATAAAATTATTCACAAAATGGATTTATTATAGTATTATCTAACAAATTCCATAATCTGTAATACATCCTAGTAATACACAATAGGATGTAGGAGTAAAAATTGCCAAATCAAAACAAAGGGAGACGGTTAAAATATACTGTAAATATCTTCCTTCCTCTGACCTCCCACAGCATTGTGTTCACATCTGTATAGTACTAGATTTTCTGTGGGCCTATGAGCTTCATAGCAACTAGCAGAGTGCCTGGCACACAAAAGCTGACCCAAAGATTGTTTGAATTCAACTGTAAAGCTATATATATACATATATGACTTTAGGATACATGTATATCTCATTTACACATACATTTTTAATAGATTACTTTGAGACAGCAATCCTAGAAATAATGAAAACAGTGACCTCTACTGGTAGAAAACTGCATTTTCCCCAATCTTTAATCACATGACCTTAAAATTAAGAATTTCATTTTATGTGAAAAAATATTAATAATGCATTTTGCCCTTTAAGAAATTTATTTTCGGGGCGCCTGGGTGGCACAGTCGGTTAAGCGTCCGACTTCAGCCAGGTCACGATCTTGCGGTCCGTGAGTTCGAGCCCCGCGTCAGGCTCTGGGCTGATGGCTCAGAGCCTGGAGCCTATTTCCGATTCTCTGTCTCCCTCTCTCTCTGACCCTCCCCCGTTCATGCTCTGTCTCTCCCTGTCCCAAAAATAAATAAACGTTGAAGAAAAAAAATTTAAAAAAAAAAAAAAAAAAAGAAATTTATTCTCCTAGAAGGAAGGGCATTAAGGGTGTGTATAAATAAACCCCAAATATGTCAATTTAATTAATTCTATTTGAAACTTCACCTCCAATTCTATGATTTTCCTCATACAAACTACCAGAATGAAAGCCTAATAAAATTTGGCTGGCAAGGACAGAGAGAAGATCTGTACATCAGTGGTTCTCGACTGGAAGTGGAGAGGGAGAGGTCTGAACTAGTGGAAACTAGTGGGGTTTATACAGTGGGCAGTGTGGGAGAATGTGGTGGAGGGTGGGTGGAATGCAATATTTATATCTATCTTGAGGGGACCTAAGTTAAACTAGTGATAAATTTGCTTTTTTTTTTTTTAAGTTTCCTTATTTAGGGGGCGTCTGGGTGGTTCAGTCGGCTGGGTGTCTGACTCTTGATTTCAGCTCAGGTCATGATCTCATGGTTCATGGGTTTGAACCTGTACACTGGGCTCTGTGCTGGCAGCAAGGAGCTCGTTTGAGATTCTCTCTCTCTCTGTGCCCTTCCCCCCATTCAAAAATAAACATTTCGAAAAAATAAAATAAAATTTATTTATTTATTTTTGGGAGAGAGAGAGAGAGAGAGCGAAAGAGAGCAGGGGAGGGGCAGAGAAGGAGAGAGAAAGAATCCCAAGCAGGCTCCACACTGCCAGCCCAGAGCCCGACCTGAGACTCGAACTCATGAACCGTGAGATTATGACTTGAGCCAAAACCAACTCTGACGCTCAACTGAGTCACGCAGGCACCCGCCCTTTTTTTTTTTTTTTTTTTTTTTTTTTTTTTTTTTAACGACTTTAATATTCCCTGACTGGTCCCTCCCTGTCCCTTAAAGGCTGTTAAAAAAACCAAAAAACAAAAAACTACTATTTTGAGAGAGGTGTAATTCCTTCAGTCTGTTGTGGTCGTACCATAGAAAGTTTAGGTTACAAATATATAACTATTCAATCGCTTAAATTAATTTCTATTTTTACCAGTAAAAACCAATTCATCGTGCAGGCAACTTTTCTCTTGCTTGAGGCGAATGATCTCTTCTCGTTGTTCGTTATTTTCTGTTGTCTTTTCATTTAGATCCTCTTCACAAATAGAAGAAAACAAAAGTCCTCAAATAAATACTAGTTCCTAGAAGACTATATACACTGAATACCTCATGCCCTCGGCACCCTTTCCAATCAATGTGAAATCCTGTTGGAGCTACAACCAAAATATGCCTCATATTTGAATCTCACTGCATCCCTGACAGTGACCCTTGTCAGGCTTCCATATCCCTGACTGGCTTCTCTTTTACAGCCTAGAATCCAAAGAACAATCAGGGTAATCTTATTCTTTTTTTTTTTTTTAAGTAAACTCTACCCCCAGTGTGGGGCTCAAACTCACGACCCCAAGATCAAGAATCACATGCTCTCCTGACTGAGCCAACCAGGACCCGCAGGGTAATCTTTTAAAAGTAAAACTCGGGGCGCCTGGGTGGCGCAGTCGGTTAAGCGTCCGACTTCAGCCAGGTCACGATCTCGCGGTCCGTGAGTTCGAGCCCCGCGTCAGGCTCTGGGCTGATGGTTCGGAGCCTGGAGCCTGTTTCCGATTCTGTGTCTCCCTCTCTCTCTGCCCCTCCCCCGTTCATGCTCTGTCTCTCTCTGTCCCAAAAATGAATAAACGTTGAAAAAAAAAAATTTAAAAAAAAAATAAAAAATAAAAAATAAAAGTAAAACTCTTCATGTCACTTCTCCGCTAAAAGCTCTACCACACTTAGGATGAAATCTAAACTCACTACCCTAAGCCTTGCATGGCCCTGACTGTCACTCTCCCCATTCTTTGTTCTGTTCCTTGAACGTGTCCCAACCTCAAAACCCAGCCTAGGGCTTTTGTATTTGCTGTTCCTTCTGCCTGGAAGGCTCTGGGCCCAGATCCTCACATGGCTACTTTTCTCGCCATCCAAGCTTCTGCTCAAATGTTCTCCTCAAAGCCGCCTTCCCAGTCCACCCGGACTGAGTTCGTTGCCCTCACTCTCTAGTCCACTGTCCATTACCCTGTCATCCTTTAAAGAGATGACAGAGTCTGTCCCTGCTGTCAAGGGGCTTACAGTGTGATTATGGTTTTAGCTGAAGCTACAAATGGAGACAAAGCCTACGATTTGGCACAAGTCAAAGCATCATAAGAACAAGATTTTAGAAGGCTGAGTCTTTTAAATTAAATCGACCACAATAAACTTTCACAATTTCAACAGCGACTCACTGGCTCAGGGGTGCAGGAGAACTGAAAATACTGACTCCGTCTGGTTCATGTCTGCACAATGACCTCCCTCGGGCCTGTGTGCTCCAGGCCCCTTGGAGGTTACTGCATGCCCTAAATGGAATTCAGAAAGGCTTATTCTGATCTTCCCTCTGGTGCACAGATGGCACCACTTTAGATAACTACCCTTGACCTCATCACAATGCCCCTCACTCCATAAAAGCTATGGATTAAAGTCTGGATTTCGTGGAGAGTAGCTTATGTAGCACCAGGATCATGGGCCACCCGATCCCCCTGTCACTAAGTGACCCTGACTAAAACTCCATGTGAATGGTATGGAATGGCTTGCTTCATTTTTCAGTCTCAAAGTGCCTTCTCAGTCTGGAAGATACTTTACTTTCCTCTACCTTCTAACAACGAGGCACTCCACTAAGGACAGAGGTCAGAGTAACTTCCACCAAAATACAGCTTTGTTATTCTAAGGTTGCTTGTTCCATGGTGAGAGCCTATGCTCATGTGGAGCTCGATGACCATTTACTCTGCCCCAGGGTGGGGAATGGCCAGAGAAAAGTGGGCCTACCGGGGCGCCTGGGTGGCTCAGTCGATTGAGCATCCGACTTCAGCTCAGGTCATGATCTCACAGTTGGTGAGTTCAAGCCCCATATGGGGCTGGCTCCCGTCAGCACAAAACCTGCTTCAGATCCTCTGTCCCCCTCTCCACCCCTCCCCCACTTGCACTCTCTCAAAAATAAATGAAAC